GCCGGGGCAGCTAGTTTAATATAATCAGTACTTGGTTAAATCTAATATAAAATTTCACATAAAATTTATTTAAATTGATATAAACGTTACCTAGATAAGTTAAGTATTTTAGAAATATGTGTAAATAGTGCCATATAAAATGCGGTATTGATACTAACTTTAACGCATGTTTGTAGGATTTGATACAGCCAATTATGTCATGATACGCTTCATCGTCCTCAATATTTGGCTCAGGCAATATGAAATTCGAGCTTTGTATGCGCTCTATGTCATATCTATTTAACAAAATTATAATACTGCTGATCTTAAAAGAAGATTTTCTTGATACAGATTTTCTCGCGAGGACAACTTACCGTATACATTCGAACAATGCACAGATATGCTGAGTGCAAAGTGTAAACGTGCAGTCGACAGCTATCACCACAGAGACTATGTAAAATACGCTGATAAACCCGTGAAACATCAACAGGTTAAAATACTTGTCCATGTCAAGAACATGTTCCAAGCGATATAGAAACCTAGCCGTGTATGTTTCGTTCGTCGGTAAAAACTTATAGATTCCGCTAATGACCACTGGTGTCGTAGAGTAGAAAAGCCACGTTACGTAAAGAGCAACTGGAAGTCACTTTTTTTTCTTTACGTTGCTTCAAAAGTTACGATATTTTAACAGAAAAAGAGCAAGCTGTTTATTTAAAAATCCAAGAAAAATTTAAGCGCAACTTAAAACACAATATGATCAATAACAAGAAAATCAGATCGGGAGAAGGGGAGATATAAGAAGTAATATCGACAGATTTCCATATATTAACAGATTTGCGGTATTTATCCATTAGGAATAAAACAAACTAATTATAAAATAAAGGTAACTTACTCGCGTATCGTATCGTGAATGTTCTGCTCTCCTCTGCGTAATGCTGTAATATTTCTTTCTCTGGACCCGCGTGTTTCATCTTCCATGTCTCTTCGATATCCTCCAGAAGCTCTTTCATCTGCAGCTCGAAGAAGTCATTCGGTATACAATCACAGAACGATCCGATTAGCCTCATATGCGGCAGAACATAAGGTACGAACTTTGTCATTAGTAAACACGCAGTTAATGAGCTTCATGATGACGAAGCTATTCACCAGTAACGGTGACGTATTTTCCATAATGATGCTCAGATCCGTTATTCCAGCTGCTAAGCCCCAAAACTGCCAGAAATTAGAAACAAATTGTCAGTCTCAATTCTAACGTAACCTGTATACCTGTTGTACGTATCTTTAAACACCTCAAAGGCTGTCAAACTGAAAATAAACAAAGATGTAACGGCGAACATCATGTTACCCTCCAGTCGCGACTGAAATGGCCATTGGCCGATTACGGACAGGAACCTTTTGTTGAGATAATAGTAGCGATTGTCAAAGAAAGACATATTATATTGGAAAACCGAAGAAGTTCGAAACGATCAGATATCTCGTCGAATATTCACGCCTAATCGCAGAGTTTATTCCTTTAAAATGATAGTTGCGTATTTCTTTGAAAAGATTTTCAAAAAGAAAATAGTAATACAACGAAAAAACAATGGAATATGTTCCACAGTACCACGCAATCACATATTTATGAGTAATGAGTCGCATTTCTCTCAACGGACTCTTTGATCGGAAAGGTCTATAACTGCGACTGTACATTGTATATGCCCATCGCTTTATAAAACAAGCAAAATTGCTAAAACTATAAGATAAATGGTAGTAAGATACACGCGAATTGCAGAACCACAAAAGTGAAACTGTTTACTTATTTTATTTAAACCGTTCAGTATTGGAAGAATCATCAGTTCTATGAAGTTTAACATTTTTTGCGTTAATATATTATATTTTGTTTCTACTTTTCTACGCAAGTACACAATTGCATACGGTATTATATCTGTTATTCACGGGTAACAAATGATTCGATATAATAACTAATATTATTGTTCAGAATAGAATGAAGAAAGAATATAAAATATGATGTTTATTACTTAACTGTTAAGTTCAAATTCTATATATATATTTATATTATTATAAAATTAACGATACGATCTCTACTTAAATTTTGATAGATAATCAGCAAATAAATAAAGAAGAACATAGAAACAAAATTATTGTAGATAAATAATTACATTTATTAAAATAAATGCTTAATTAAAAATTATCTAAGAAATACAAATAAAAAATATTATAGAAAAAAATAACTTCCTCCGCCAGTAATTAAAACCAAAATATTATTTTAGTTCTCGACTAACGGGTACAATATAAAAAAGTATATGCACTACGTTTCGGCTCGAGGTTCCTTCTCAAGTGCGGTCTAATCGTCAAAATTGACTCGTCATGTGGTACTCAAATATTTGATATGCAAACTTTTGAAAATTTGACACATGAGACACCTGTACTTTATGACTATGTTGGAATATTCTCGTGAACACAAGGATGTCTTTTGAGTACCACATGACGAGTCAATTTTGACGATTAGACCGCACGTGCGCACTTGAGAAGGGCTCAAACCTCGAGCCAAAACGTAGTGCATATTTTTTTATATTGTGCCAGTTAGTCGAGAAATAAAATAATATTTTAGAAATATTATAATTGCAGATATTAGAATTTTCGATAATACGTATAAAAACAAAAATACTTTTATTCATACTTTTGACAAAATATGATGCACGAAGTAAACCGCATTCCATATGGCGAATAATTACATGTCATCCGAGCTTAATGATACCATTAACGTAACGTAAGAAGCGGACTTTCTCATGAGCTTAAAAATATAATGTAATATCAAATATATATTTTTACATAATTTTTTAAATACGTATAATTAAGCGGAATGTTTATATATGTTTTAAATATTGTTCGAAAACAGATTATTTATAGGGGAGACCGGGGCGAAGTCGGCCCTTTTTTTTTCGGTGCCAATTTTTACAACAAAACAAAATAAATTTTAGTAAAATATAGTATACCATTGTAAAGAGTGAACCCTTGGCTACAAAATTTATATAGGCATTTTTAGTCTACGTCGCTTTGTTCAACCGGTATAGAGTAAAAACGACAAAGGTGCAAAAATCGAAAAGTCAAAATTCTCGGGGCGGAGTCGTGTCTTCATTCTCGAACTGGATTTTAAATAAAAATACATAATTTTGATCATAAAAAATAATAGAATAAAAAAATAAAAAGCGGAAAATAATTTCAAGAAAATCAATTTTCTTTTTCGCTAACAGTTAAAGCATGTAAAAACAGAGTCTGGACGAGCGCACGCACTCGTTGTGCGCCTTACGCCTGCACTGTTTTTCATCGGCTGTGTTTTTTATTATCTCCGAACATACGCAGCACATATTATTTAGCTTTCTTGACTTTGTTTTAGCTTGGAAACGACTTCGCCCCGAACACAAGTTTTAGGTTTGGTCGCTAAAATAATAGAAATAAATGAAAATAAAAAAACTGCATTGGATTCGTGTTCATGCATTACTCTTTAGAATCACTTGCTTTGAAATTCGGAGAGACAATAATACTTAAGATATTACAAACTTTCGACGCGGAAGAAATTTTACTTTTGACCTGCGAAAACACGTTTGCTTCGATAAGAATCACAACATGACACGTAACCTCACTAAAATCCGTTGGTCACGTGGGCGCCATAAGCCGCGCTTACAGTATTAATGGCGAGTTCACAACATACAGATTTCGAGATAATTACAAAAACGACTCCGCCCCGGGGCCAACTTTGCCCCGGTCTCCCTTACAGATTTTAGATTTAGATACTTATTTTCACGGCTATTATTCATATATACGAGTATACTGAACTTTACCGTGCTGTAACTTTCCAAGCAAATTACGTATATTTTCGCCATAGTTATGTGACATGGTTTTTGACACTTTATTATTAGAAATAGTAGCATTCTTTTTGCTTTCAAAGACATTTGATACCACAATCCGTTATATCTGAAAATATATTATAGCTTTAAAATCATGACGGCATGGATTAATTAAATCAATAACTTACGCTGCAACAGAAATCTGAGAACTGTGATCTATTATCTTCTGTCCTATCCAACTATTAAAGAAAAATCGAGTAGATTGAAGGAGCAAAAGTGGACCGTTTTTTATTAGTTCCGTATTAATCACGATCTGCACAATAACGCACAAATACAAAATCGATTCGAGTCAACATAAAAAAGAATATTTTCACAATATGTAACGGATCAACAATTTATTAAATAGCTCTAACTGTGTATTTAGAATGTATTATATGTATACCATAACGCATGTAGAACACTGAAGTAGAATGCCCAAACCAATGTCGGCAAAAAGGCACATCGCAAACGTCGATTCGATCAACTGGATTAATCTATTGACAACAAATAGAGATAGAAAAATCCATGGAGCATATCTATAATATTTCAGGTAGACCTTACAATACGATTTATTCGATTTTATATGAACCTCTCTATTCTGATTTGCAGCTGTATGCATTGGACCAGCTTCTCAATATCTCTGTCCTCTTTAGATATAGGATTACGATCGATACATTTTAATTTATCATGTATAGCAAATTTTTTCAAACGGTAACTGCAAGTATATAGTCATGTATGTACATAGGAGAGATATTTTCTATAAAAATGAGACGAAGCAAAAGTAGGATACCTTAATATAGCCAGTGTACCACAGGCATGTTGCAGCAACGCGAAATATATGGTATCTGTTGCGATCACTATCGTAACACACATAGCGTACCCTGCGAACGTAATTGCTAAAAGAATGTAATAATGCTTTTCCAAATTCAAAAAGAACTCGGCGGGGTGCGGCATTTTCTTCGGTCTCGTTACGTTTAACGTCAGTATGATGTCGAATAAAGGTACGGTGAGCGGCGCCGTCACAAAACTGGCTGCACCCGTGCTTGTAAAAACTGGTAAAAAGGAATTATCTCTCTTTGCATAATTGCTCAGTGGAACGGACGTTGGGTATACTTATCGTTAGGCTTACTTAAGTAACCCACTGTGAATATCCGACTTTTCTCGGCATATTCTATCAAAATCCAAATATCATGGTATTTCGCCAATAAACACCAATCGTGACGCACGTGCTCAATCAGCATCTTAAACTGGAGGTACAGCAATTTTTCTTGGACGAAAAATAACTTTCTACATTGCGACACAATTTACTTACTTTTTTAGCTTGCCAATGGACACCAATTACTTTCAAGAGACATAGAAGCGCTCCAAGTAAAGTTGGCAAAACATCGTAAAAATCGTTTAAATTTCTCATACGTTTGAACAAGAATGCGACCTATTAATAAATTGTAATTAATTTATCGTGTCGTATTTAATGTGAAATACGTGACTTTCGATGTAACTGTACAAGATTCGATTGGCGCAAAAATCGTCGATAATTTCAGAAAACTCATAATATTGAAACTGTAATTGATCCTCTTACGATTTTTTTAGTCCGTCTATAATTTGCGAGATACCTGCGGCAGGAGTATAATCAGTATACCAAGTATTGTACAATAGAAAAATGTGTTTTTGTTAGACGATGACTGTACCGGCCACAGACCGAGAAACGACAGCAGCAGCTTGTTAACTCGAAAATATCGGGTATCAAAGATGTCCATTGGCTGGCCTGTGCTTGTTGAAGCGGAATTCTTGAATAAGTCGAAGTGACGTTTCCGTCAACCGCACGATTCATTTGATATTCTCTTGGGGTGTCGATACGTTGGCAAAGAAATACACGTTATAATATTCCGATTTAAATGGAATCAGTAATGAGAGGAGTCGCCTCCCGCGCCCAGACGATACGCGAGGAGTCCTGCAATTTTAATTTCGTCGTCAACATTGTGGCGTAAAGCAATACGGTGGTAACGCTTACGTTCTGGACAGCATATTCATTTTTATAAAACAGAAGAGATAACAGTTATACGTCGCATGACATAGTTGGTTGCCATATGTCAATTATGTTAGATATATATTTCTTAACTACGAAATAAAAAAATATTATTATTTACAAATTAACGGCAATAATTTAATTTACGGCAAACGTATTTATACAGCGATGGATTTTTGGTTTAGTAAGAATGCGTCTAAGTGAATTAGAAAAATATATGTAAGTAAAAAAATTGTTGGCTACAGAATATTGGCGCGGAAAAGTTAATACAAATAATAACAATTTTGGTTATGACGATTTCAACGAAGAAAGTGTAAATAATCACATTGTTTCTGACATCGCACCCAGTTTGACGGGTTCTAGAGAACTTGAGATCATAAATATCAAGTCATCAAATGAAGCTTTGCTAGATCATCCATATTCATGGATGAATAGTTCGATAACTGATTTGGTCAGCTCAATAATTGATCAGCAGAACAATAATTTCATCGAATCCAAGAGTAATTTAAAAAGAGACTCAGAATCGAATTACATTTCTTCTACACATCTCGTTTCAAGATCAAAAGCACAACCTCAAGCTTGTCATCGTAAATCAAAAAATTAAATATTATTTTGACATATGATTGCACAAAGAAATATGTCGATCTGTTTACTAATATATATCTAAAATGGTGCAAATTAGGAATTTGCACTTGGCTTCCTCATAGAAATTAGAAATACATCCCCATAGAGGAAGTGATGTCTTAAGATGCTAATACGGCCCTCTGATTGGCTCTGGCAACACATTGGCATCAAAAACTCAAAAAACAATTTTTACTTCGGTCTTTTCTACCCCTATTTCATATATAATTCTTTTAAATTCGGTTGACTAGACTTAACTTGATTAAATTTAGCTTTATATGCGAGCAAAATTATGGACCTTTAATCGCGTATAAAGCTGGGTTTAAACAACCAAATCTTAAAAAATTATAAATGCGAGATTAAGCGACCCAACTGGCCAGTATCAATTTATTTAATTAACTCACTACGTTTCGACCTTAATTAGGTCCTTTTCAAGTGAGAAACAATACATAGGTCACGCAACAATGGATCATGCGTTGGCGACCAATGCTGCGTCCAAACCGCATTGTGCGAACGCCACGCTAGAACGAATATGTCCATATAAGTATGTCGAATATAAAAATGGAAGACATATCAGTGGTAAATCGTAAAAACTTACATGTAATGTGCGTCAAAAGAATAAAACATAAAAAGTTTCCGAGAGTCGCAATGTAAAGTTTTAGGAGAATAAGACAGATCATTTTCTCCACTAGCTCCGTTCCGTGCCATATTCAAAGTCACAATGATACGTATAATACACAATGACTAACTACAATATGATGTGTTCCGAAAGTACCGTATGACAAACCAAATCATAAACAAATTAACATGTTCCAAAATACTGCAGACACCAGACCGAACTCAATTACATGTTATACAGCCTCAATAATTCGATCGTATATCGCGGGCAAATTCTCCGTATCTTTTTGGAGGTTGACAGTGCACTAGTTCTTTTTTATGAAAAACATTTCAGAAATCTCTCTTTTTCTGAAATGCTTCTCCTTATATAGAATCTTCGGATTCTGCCAATCAAAATCGTGGTTTTGAGAGAGACGATGTTTAGTAACGACCGAATGATTATCAACATGTCTTTTGACATCGCTCCGATGTTCCTTTATGCGCGTCTCTAAATGCCGCTTCGTTTGTCCGATGTAACACGAATCACAATTCACACAATCTATCTCGTAAACAAGAATACTGGTCAGTTGGATCGCTTAATCTCGCATTTATTTTTAACTACACACTGGCGGATCTAACAATTTATTCAATTCTTTTTAAAAAATTATATATGAAATAGGGATAAAAAAGACTAAAAAATATAATAAAATTAAAAATAGATCGATATCTCCAAATTTGCGGAAGTTAAAGCAACCACGGCCATTTTTAAAAAAATTCAAAATTTAAAAAAAAAACCCCTTTACCGATCATTGCCAAATTCAATACCAACCTTCCTTAAATGATACTCTATCGATTAAAAAAAAAACATCCCAATATCTAAAAAATTACGGAAGTTATACCATAAACAAAAAAAAAAAAAAAAGAATTCAACACCAATCTACCTTTAATGATACTCTACGACTTTTCGACGTTTTCGAACATAAGCAACACATTGGCATCAAAAACTCAAAAAACAATTTTTACTTCAGTCTTTTCTACCCCTATTTCATATATAATTCTTTTAAATTCGGTTGATTAGACTTAGCTTTATATGCGAGCAAAATTATGGACCTTTGATCGCGTATAAAGCTGGATCTAATCAACCAAATCTTAAAAAATTATATATGAAAGCTGGATCTAATCAACCAAATCTTAAAAAATTATATATGAAATAAGGGTAGAAAAGACTGAAAAATATAATAAAATTAGAAATAAATCGATATCTCCAAATTTGCGGAAGTTAGAGCAACCACGGACATTTCTAAAAAAATTCAAAATTTAAAAAAAAAAAAACCCCTTTACCGATTATCGCCAAATTCAATACCAACCTTCCTTGAATGATACTCTATCGATTAAAAAAAAAAAACATCCCGATATCTAAAAAATTACCGAAGTTAGTGCATATACGGACAACAAAAGCATAGATACATACATACATACACACGGACATTTTGTACAAAAGTGATTTTTCGACGTTTTAGAACATTCTAAACACTTTGCCAAAAATACTTTTAAAAAAATTTTTTTCACGAAAACAAAACTTCCTCTATGAGGAAGCAAAATGAGAATATAATATTCTCTTAGATTTATTATTATAACATAAGTAAATATAAGAATATTATATCATAAGAATATCATTATCAGTATATCAGTATCTATATATAGGGGAGACCGGGGCTAAGCCGACACTATTTTTTCAAAGGCAATTTTTAATATTTAATTAAAATTTTTAGGCAAATTCAATGATATATATTTAAAGAGTGTTTCTTCAGGTATAAAATTGATTCAGGAAGTTTTGCTGTACGTCGCTTTGTTTTGCCGCCAGGAAAGAAAAAGTGACGCGAAGACAAATTTTCGAATTGAAAAATGACGGGGCGAACTCGACACCCCGCCGGGGCAAACTCAACACTTTGTTTGATCGACACAATTTAATCTGGAACTTATTTTTTTATTGTTTAAAAATAAAAATACATTGTTTATCAAATGAAAAGACATTGTGTATTAGAAACAAAAAATTGGAATAAAGTAAACAATTATTTAAAATAATGAGAAAAAAAAAATTAAACTTTTAATTATCTTTTTCTAAACTGTCTCTGAAAAACAATTTATACACGTAAACTCGCGATCAGATATGCGCACACATTCGTCATGAGCCATACGGTTGCATAAGATGCATTGTTTGTTATTAGAAGCTAATGAAATGTTTTCCGAACACACGCAACAGATGTTCCTTAAATCGTCATCGGAATCGGACGAAACAGTGACCTTTTTTGCGATAATGTCACTTTAGGTTAGTGTCGTCTTTGCCCCGGTGGCGTCGTGTCGACTTAGCCCCGAACGTCGTATTTTACTTTTGTTACTCCAAAAATATATAAATTTTGAAAATATGCAAAAATTATTATCGGATTCGTATAAAGCATCGAATTTCCCATCAAAATCACTTAGCGGTAGATTCGCAAGAGTAAAGCTCGATGAAAGAGTAGACATTTTCGAGAGATCAAAAAAATTACTTTTCACTATCAAAAACACTTATGTCGCGTTAAAAATTACACTATAACTCAGAATATTACCAAATTCCGTTGATAATACTGGCACATAAAGTCGCATTTACAGTAGCAAAGGCAAGTTTCTACGATAGATTTAAATTGGCAAAAAGCCTAGTGTCAAGTTCGCCCCGCTGTCGGCTTAGCCCCGGTCTCCCCTAATATATATATATATATATATATATATATATATATATAATCAAAATATCAGTATATATATTATATATTTGTCAATACATATACGTACTAAAGGAATTTCTGTTTTTGTTAAAATCTAATAATGACACTACTGCTAGATCCACGATGTTTACGTGCCGCTTTCTTCTTCACGCATTGACAGTATTATCATGCAATATAAGAGTGACGTTTTCATTATCTTAAAAAAAGTTACATATTATATTTATGATATGTGCATCAAATAATATTGCTTCCTCATAGAGAAAGCTTTGTTTTCATAAACTTCGTATATGGATCGCATATATAAAGTTAGGTCTAATCAATCAAATTTTATAGAATTATATAAGAATTATATGAAATAGGGATAGAAAAAACCGAAGAAAAAATTGGTTTTTTAGTTTTCAATTCCAATGTGTTCAGAATGTTCTAAAACGTCGAAAAATCGCAATTTTAAAAAATATCCGTATGTGTGTATGTGTGTATGTGTTTATGTGTGTATGTGTGTATGTATGTGCAAAATTTACCAAAATTTCTATAACTCAAGAACTAATTAACCAAATCTTATAGAATTATATATGAAATAGGGGTAGAAAAAACTGAAGAATATAATAGAATTAGAAAAATTGCTAATAATAAAAGGGTTACCAATTTCTATCTAAAAAAAATCTACATGGTTACTCTAATTTCCGCAAATTTTGAGATATCGAGCTTAATTTTTTCTTATGAATAGAGTATCATTAAAGGAAGATTATTATTGAATGGCAAGGATCGGTGAAGGGATTACCAATTTTTACTTAAAAAGTGTATAAGATGTACATGTAATTTTATATAGTGTATCACTAAAAGAAAATTGTTTTGAATTTTGCGAAGATCGATGAAAGGGTTATCGATTTCTGCTTAAAAAATGTGTAAGTTATTTGATGTATAGAATATCATTTAAGG